CATATAATTTTTGTGACAAAATCGTTGCAAAAATACACAACTCATATTTTAGCTCAGCAGCTTGGTGAGCAATTAAGGTTGCATGGAATTAAAAAAAAATATATATATACTTGTAAAAAATTTTCAACTTAAAGCAAAATTCAATGCTAGACTAAATTTTTAACTCTATTTGATTTGCTTGTAAATATGTATAAACAAAAAGAAAAAAAAAACATTTGGTTTTCATATTTAAAAAAATTCGTACATTTCATTATAAATGGTTTTCTTTCTTTTCACAATTAAAATTATTTATTTGCTTGTACATTTATGTATACATAAATATATATATATATGTATATATGTAAAATCTAACAAACATTTGCAATAAATCGAATGGTGTACACATACAGATAAGAAATGGATTTATTAAATTTATGAATACTTGATTTTTTCTTCTTTTTTTTATGCATAAAATTCAAATGTGATGTTTTTTTCTAAAAGAAAGAAAAAGATGCGAGTACCTACTACATACATCATTAATGAGACATGCACTCACTAACCAACTCATTAAAAAAACCTAACAAATACAGTCTCATTTTACATATGCACATATAATATTTTCTTTTTTTATATATTTTTTTTTTTTAATAACACTTCAATATAAAACTAACTAAAATACTTGAGATATTATCGAACATTTTTCGAGTATCTACTAAATATGTGTATGTATTGTATGTTTGCATGTGTCTATGGGGGCGCTGGAATGAAGAATGCATAATGGCTGTGTTTTGTTTTTGTTTTTTAGTTTACGTTTTTGTCTCATGTATCTGGTGTTTTTCTTCTTTCATTTTTTAAATATAATTTCTTCTACATATGTATGTAAGAATGTCTGTTTAATTATATAGCACACGCTTTTCGGTTTTTGAAACCAGCATTTTTATGCGCAATCAAGAAATTATTTGTATTGTTTGCTTTCACTATTTTGAGTTTAATTTTTTTTATTCGCTAATATGCTTCGTTTTTTTTTGATTGTTTGTTTATATTTTTGAAGAAGTAGAAAATGTGTGTGTGTGTGTGGCCTGTGGCATGTGGAATTTTTCGTGTTTTCAAAGATCAAAGAAAAAAGCGAGAAAAATGCGTTTTCGAAAATTGCGCCAAAAATAACTATCAGCACGCATGCTGTGCGCGCCATCGCGCACCGCAGCTACCATTGCCACACACGCCGTAGACACACCCCTTCTGTGGGACCATTTCTCCACTTCAGCGTCATTGCATGCATCGCCAATGCCATCTCCTCCTTCTTCTCGGCCTCCTCCAGCTCTGCTAGCCACGCTGCGGAGTGTTGTTGTTGCTATTTTGTATATGTTTTCTTGTTGCTTTATTTTATTCTAAGTGCTGCTTATGGCGCTGTTGTCTGTTTATTTATTTGTTGTTTTTGTTGTGGTTGTTGTTTTTGCTATAGACATTTTAAAAATGTATCTCAATCTGTATTACTTAGTCTTGCTCCGTAGCACCCGGATAATAATATGGCGGTGGGCGTTCATACTCGGATGCAGGTGGTGCCATTGGGGGATTTTGGTATCTCGGTGGGCCGCCATCCCAATGTCTGCAAGCAAGTAAAGGTGAAATTTATAACACAAAAAAATATACATATACTATTTAGGTACATATATATAATGCTTTTTTATACAAATGAATGTGTAAAGCAAGAAAGTGGAGTACAAACGAATGATGTGGCCACATTGGTAGCGTAAGTGGTAATAGCAAATGCTGCTAGAATGTATTTGTTGAACAAACATGAATATTTATGTTGTGAAGCTCTTGCGGCACACTTACAAAGTTTTGTTAATACAAGTGCGTATGTATTAGAAATTTAACACTTTGAAATCTATTTTTATAGAAATTTCATGTATGGCAATGATGGTGGTGGTAATGATGATGACGATGAAGTTCGCAGACAGGTGAATATTATGCTGGTGCAGTAGAAAACAAAGTTGATAAAACTAGGCAGAGAAGAACACTAACGTTAAAAGAGCTAAGAGTGATTGAACATACTTTTTTGTTAAAGAAAAAAATTTAAATTCTAACCTAGAAAGGGTAATAATGAAATAAGAGTAAATTATAAAGCAAACCCAAAAAACAGCTCTTACCAAATAGTTTTTGTTTGGCATATTAAATTATGGGAACTATTTATTCACAGGGAATTAGCGATAAGGCTAAAAACGCGGTTTAGATTCAAAAGTTGGTTAAAAGAAAGAGTAAACTCAACAGGTAAACTTGAAAATTCTTTAGCTGAAAACAATTTTTCAAATACTGGTTTCTCCACAAAGATTTTAGGGCACAATGTCTTTTATGGCGGAGCGCAGTGCAGTAATTTTCAGTTACCGGAATTTTCAGTTATCGGAAAGAAGTCTTCGCAGACGAAAGATGTGCGCGAAGAACATAAGAGTCTACAGGAAAGAGGCTGGTTCTCCTAAAGATATGTAACATTTATTTTTTTTATTCATCACTTATTATTTATGTTTTATTTTCATCAAACAATTTAGGCATTTTAAAATCTCCAGAAGAGATTTTGGGGTGATGTATCAAGCGAGTTGAGCATTTGGCACTTTTTTAATCGTTGTCCACCACAGCAAAAGTACGCAGTATTAGGTAAACCATAGCCGTGAATATCCGTTGAGAAACCGCCGGCAAAAAGCCCCATGTACATCCCAACATCGTTTTACATGCTAACAATGCCACAGAGGCTTTCTTTAACTGCTTCTCCACATTGCGTTTCCACTAATGTTTGCTATCCCAAGGTACTTTGTGCTTCGATTTTAGGTAATTTAGGTCAGTGTCAGACTCAAATCCTTCATTTCGTAGTAAATAGTACTCTCGACAGTCAGCTCCTCGTTAAAGCTTAGTCTGACAAGACCGTAGAGACATTTTCCGAGAAACACTTGGGGCCCCTATAAGTCGAAAAGACACATACACGAATTAAGAGGCTAAACGTTTTAAACAAAATAGTATTGACGCCGAAATGGGACAAAACCTCCGTTACATATATTCAGATTTAATGAATATGGCGAACTTTTTGTCTTATGCCTTAGGAGGGGGAAGTCTTCGTCTGCACTCAAGTCTTTTAATGATAGAATCATAAAAGAATCGGGTGCTCTATTACGAATGTTGTATAAGAAACAAGCTCCTTCGACCAAAACCTTGATAATGTTACTAATATTCCATCTCAAGTAGTTTTCAACATGCGAACTTGATTCTTTGCCAGCTACCGCTTCCAAATATTTATATGTAGAAGTTGGAGGCATCTTTTTTATTTTTCCACAAAAGGCATCGATCTCGGGACCCGGAGACATTTCTCAAGGATATTCTCGAATTTCACCAAACATGCTCGTTGCGTTTTCTACTACATTCCGCACGGCTACCGTGATCAAAGTCAACAGCTCACACCTAACCTAACCTAACCTAACCTAACCTAACCTAACCTAGAATAAGTATTCGTAGCTTAAAAAATCATCAGAGGAAGTCATTTGATTTAACCCAATATTGGTACATTTAGGTCACACTAGAATGGGCAAAACACCCTATGAGTATTTAAACATTTTTTACGCGAATTAAAATCTTAATTTATAATAAAAACGTACATACATATAACTTATTCCTTAGTTTTAAGTGCAGAATCAGAATGGCTTGGAGTACAACATTAATATTTACAGGTAGTCAGTCACACACATGAACGCGCATTTAAAATGAAAAAATGTTTAATAGAAGCAAATGTGAGACCCCATAAGTGTTAGTAGTAGCGCAAAGAAAAGAAAAGCGTAAAGGTTAGAGTTTTAACGAAGCATATTGATTGGGACGCTCGTGTGAGTACGAAATAATTAGAACAACGCACCACAGCACTAACACCACCATAAACATCATCATCATCATCATCATCATCATCGCTTATCACCATCATCACCGTAGTCAACATGTTAACCTAATAGAAACCATCGCCCGTCAATGATCTTGGCCTCGTTTCAACGGAACCAATAATACACTTAGGTCTAAGAAAATTAAGACAAAAATTAAGAGAAAAAAATATATATTTGCGAAATAAAAATTAGAAAAAATAAAAGCATTCAAAATTTTATTTAAAATACAATGCAATAATTAAGCGCATAAGAAAAGCTGAAGGCAATTAATAATAGTAAATTGGCATTTAAATTGCATTTGAGTCAACATTATATAAATTATGTAGCAGTAGGCGAGTAAATAGCAGCAATATTATTGATAAGTATTTTAATTGTATGGCCGTTGAATTTACAATTACATTTACGCAAAACAAGGGTTTCGATTGAAAAAGAGCAATTATGGAAAAAAATATATGTATGTATGTAAATAGTTACTTACTTGGGTGCCATGTCGTTGTAGCGAGTGTCACGCACACCAACAGTTGGTGGCACACCATGCGCCGTGGAAGCGACGGGTTCCTCATAGTATTCACGACCGCGACGTCGGTCTTTATTCTTTCGTCGCTTGTTCTTTGGCCCACTATAAAAATTTAAATTGAAAGTGTATAGTTGCTTGGAACATAAATTAGGAAAATTGTGTTTTTCTGGAAAGTAAAATAAACGGCAAAAGCTTGAAACTGAAGACGTGAAAGTGTAAATGCAAACATATTTGCAAAACAATAATAATAATAATAATAGCGATGCGGCATTAAAAAAAAAATCTACTAATTAGTTTAAATAATGGCTAAAAGCGATAATTGTTTAGATTGAATTGTATTATTAATAAGCGTATGATAGCGTGATTCCTAAACTCTAATTGTATCAACTTCACATTGCAAAATATATAGACTTCCAGACTCAGCGAAGTTTATGCCACCGTCGCAATTTTTCTCAGACAGCCTATTATGAACAAGGAACACAGGCTCTGCCATATTTCCTCTAGCTTATTGCCAAATATAGACTATTTTATTTTCCAAGCCCTAGTTATAGGGGGAGGAGCATATCAGAATATAGGAGAATGATCTACAAGACTCACAGCTGTTTTTATGGGGCTCCGGGCACTTGGTTCTCAAACTGCCAGACTGAATTTTGAATGCAATGGGAAATTGAGCTCGAGTGAATGTGAATATCAAAATGACAAAGAAACGATGTGGATAACGATATAGCTTTGAAACATTGACACTGATATACATAAATATCGATAAAAGTAATTGACCTTGATAAACGCCTTTGGGTAACACAAAATCTTTTTGAGTATCCAGCGGAAGATGCTTCATCGGTATAATTCAAAGTGTCCCGCTCATGCTAATCAATCATAGTCTATACGTTAGGGTGTTAGGTTAAACAACATTCTTCGAAAACCGGTTTTCGAATTATTCGATAACTGGCAATTTGGAAAAAGCCGATCCCCCACTTTCAAATTCAGAAAAAACTGGATAAAATGGTTTTATTTCGCATATTTTCTCTACAGTAGCTCAACTGTTACTAGTCAGAAATCATTACCAAAATTACAATACCACTGCTAAAAATAGGTGAAGCTTTAATTTAGAAATCAAAATCTTCTTGCAGTGGAAAATTTTCCAGTATGTATTCAGATATAAAGTCAATAAAAATTGTATATGTACATTTTCAATAAAATTAATTTTTAGAATTCTTCGGTACTATCAAGGCACATTAAACAGGTAGTATCAGTAGAGCAAAAACAACATTTGCGTGTATTTTGTTGTTGCTTCTTGTATCGAAAGTGTCAAAAACTGTTCTGAATTTTTTCTTCTAAATCAAAGCGTGCCACGTGAAATACAAAAAATTATAAAAAATAAAAAATTGAAATTGGAAAAAATAAAAATTGATGCAACTTTCTTTCCTAGTAAATTTGTTTGCTTCTCGAAGCATTGATCCATCCTTTGCAAGGCCCAGTAATCAGCGGTCGTGCTGCCGAGTTGGGCGAACGTTCCAAAAGCTGCTATTCAATCGCTTGTTTTGTATGGAAAAAGGTTTCACATGCAAATGGATTTTAACAATTCAGAAGTTTTGTGAGAAAAAATTAAAAATATTTGACATTTTCGAGACCAAATAATTTGAAAATAAATCAAATCAGCTGCTCTACTGATACTACCTGTTCAATGTACCTTGGGTACTATATAAATAAAACAGATGAAAACCGGTTTATACGATTGCCATGAAAGGAGAAGTCGACATGCTCCAGGTACAACCCAGCACCCTTTATCACGCATATGCGCCACCTAAAATTTTTTGGCCACTCCATCACATTAAGTGGGTACGGCAGTAATGTGCTTCAGCTAGAGTCGCTCCACCTACATACATACGTACATATGTAGCTTAGGTCTTGATCATTTCGGAATGTGCGTGGCTGCTAAACCTTACTATGTACATATTGATAATCATTAATATAAATATCAAACTTAGTATTAAGAAATTTTTCGATAACAATATCGATAATTTATCCATTTAAATCATGAAAATTTATCGATTTCAAACTCAAAAAAAATTATCGATTTCAATCTCGAAAATTTATCGATTTTAATCCCAAAAGGTTGTTGACGCTATTTTAAGACAATTTCTCCATTTTATTCTTTAAAATGTATCGATTCTAATCCCGAAGAAATATCGATTTTAATCTGGAAAATGTATCGCTTTCAATCTCGATAATTTATCGATTTGAATCCAAAGATTTATCGATTTGAATCCAACAATTTGTCGATTTTAATCCAAAAATGTGTCAATTTTATCCAAAAATTTATCGATTTTAATCCAAAAATTTATGGATTTTAATCCAAAAATGTATGGATTTTAATCCAAAAACGTAGCGATTTTAATCAAAAATTTTATCGATTTTAATCCAAAAATTTATTAATTTTAATCCAAAAATTTATTAATTTTAATCCAAAACCGTATCGATTTTAATTAAAAAATTTATCGATTTCAATCCAATATTTTATTTTATTCTCGAAAATTTATGGCTTTTAATCTCGACAATTTATATTTTAATTTCGAAAATTTATCGATTTTAATCTCGCTAATTTATCGATGTTAATCGCGAAAATGTAACGATTTAATCTCGATAATTTATCGATTTTAGTCTCGAAAATGTAACGACTTTCATCTCGATAATTTATCGTTTTCAATCCCGAAAATTTATCGATTACAACCACATAAATTTAGCGACTAGAGATGCGTACTAACACTCCGTAGGACCAGGGTTGAAGTGTATTTCTGCCTTGAAAGCTTCTCATAAAATTAATTTTCCGTCAGGAAGCGACGTAAAACTTTAGGTCTCTGCATTTATGCAACAAGATCAAGTCGAAAACAACAAAAGCAGCAAAAGTGTAAGCGCCAAAATATTTTTATTATTAACCTCGGAAATTCAATAACCTTCGGAAATGCAATCTAGAATAGTTATAGATTAAAATCTCGCATTTACCACGATTTATCGATTATTGAGCGCATTCAAAAAATAAAATTTTGCGATGGAATCAAGGAATTTTACACACAACTTCATGTCAAGAGTTTTTATAAGCCACCCTGAGCGTGAAGCAGAAAAATGTTACCTACGCGTCCTGTTTTAATTCACTTAAAAAAGCAATGTTTTCAAAAAAACACCTGTAAAAACTACTCTATAAGCTAACTGTACTGTATGTACATATCTGAAAACAAGTGTGCAACTTGTAACTTGCTGTCAGTAATACCACTGCATTATATACGAGAAACAAGCAAAGCATGATAAGAAACTTAGAAAAAAACAATAGCAAATACAAAACTAAAAGCACGTAACTAAATATGCAAGTATTAAAAATAATGTGAATGTCAATAAAATGTTAAATATTTGAAACGTTTCACTTACTTTGCCAATGGAATGTGATCACGTTCACTATATGCGTCATACAAATACTCCCTGAAAATTGGTAGTTGCAAAATTTAATCATACATAGGACAACAAACATTGTGAAAAAAGCAGCATGCAAAATGATAAATAGATATGAATATATGTAGTACATATGCATATGTGGAATAAAATTAATGCACAAATAAAGTTAAATGCGTTATGTTTTCATTAATAGAAAAAGAATTAAATTAGTACAAGGCAATTCTCTTTTTCAGTTAACATTTTAGAGGGGCGAGGGGTTTGATTACTTTAATTGCCAAAAATTGGTGGTTTCAAAATTCGAAAGTAAGAATATTTCCTACAATTCTTTTTTTTTTGTTTTTGTTAAAAATAGAATTCCATTGAAAACCTGGAACTCAAAAAATGTTGCATACAAATTTTGACAGTACAGAAAAAGTTTCTCAAGTAACTTTTAAAATTTATTTGACGGGCCGATACAGTTTAGAGTCTACTTGAAAGACGGCCCTTACCTACTTTTCAGTTTAAGGGAATAATTGAATATATTTGGCCTCTACGACATAGCTTGTTAATGGAAGGTGTAAGAGATGTTTAATTGCATAAAAATATGTTTCTTTATTACGCTAATAAACTATACAAAAAATCCGAAAGTCTTATTTTCTGAAAGTTAGTAAAATATCTACCAAATAAAAAACAAAATTTCAGTAAAAAATATACTCATATTATTAAAATGTTTATACAAAAATATCATAAACAAAATATTAGTTGCGCTACGGGATTAGGTAGGTAAGTTTCCACTTACGATTCGACTAGTGGACCAGGATATGGATCTGACTTCTGGTACAAGCTTGCCAATTTGACCGCGACCATCAAGGTGGGCAAAAAGAGCACAACACACAATGCGGCGCCAGCCCAGAAACCATTCTTAAAAGAAGCAAAAATTTCATTGTTTTACAACATATTCGAAAATTTCAATAGCACGCTACTACTTACCAATGGATTAACAACAGAACTACACAGTGCAACTATACCAGAGTCGTAGACATTAGCTAACGGCGCACATAAGCCAATTTTCCGCTCCACTGCCTGCACGACCATTCTCAAATAATTCTCTATTTCACTTGCAAAATAGTGTGTCAAATTTTCTGCGGTTGCCCTAACAAACTGACGTCCATCTACGCGGAAGAACGTCTGCGCACGCTCAATCTCATTGACCAGCAACGGTATGGATTCGTGGAATGGATGATCCTTATAGCGTAGGCTATGATCCAAATCATCTGCTAGCCGTATAAGTTCCACTGATTGATTTTTCATTGGTATCGCCAAATTGTGTTCGTATGTCTCCAAATGCAAAGCCTGATTACGCAAACTAACTCGTACATCTTTCATATCATCGCTATTTTCGATTTTATTTGCTGTCTGGCTTAATTGTTGAGCAATTTCGGTTAATGAATATTTGGTTATTGTATCGTTAAGATTATCAATATATTGTGCAGAATCAAAGTTCTTCAATGCTGATTCGCCGAGGCTCAGTATGCGTTGTTTATCCTCTGGACTTAGTATGAGCACATCGCTGTCGTCAAAAGAAATACCAGCAACTAAATCATCTAAGGTTTGATTGATCTTATACTGAGCTGGGTAATCATTTATTTCATGTATATCGATACGATTATGTATATGCAACACTTCGTAAATGGTTTGATTACGCTGACAGGCGGTGATCACATGTGATATGCGTAAAGGTGGTAAACCACCTGAAGTCAGCTTGCCCTTATTTTGTGGCGGATAAAGTACATTATTCAAGTCAATAGAGTTGTCAAGTTGAGCGAATATTTCATCGTTTTGAGGGTCCCTGGAAAAAAATTACATTTCAAATATCACTTTCGATAGTCTCGCGAAAGTACAACACTTACTTTAATGGAAGACATAAGCCACGGTAGGCGATTAGACCGATCAAAAAGTGAGCCAGCGCTACTAGAGCAATCAACGAAATGAATAGGAAAATCAGTGCTACAGCCCTGTGGATAGATAGAGGATCATTAGTAGCCCATTTTTGTATTGAAAAGATTCGCCGCAACGCTTACATCATCAAGAAACGCGAACCAGAGCCTTTATTACAGCAATCATCACCATAACCGTCTGGGCGTTTGCCACATATGCCACACAGCAATGCGGCTACTAAGCAAACCAAGATCTGCGAATGAAAAAAAAAACGAATTTGTGGAAAAATACTTCTTTCATAAATAGTTAGTCGAAGATTAAATTACCAGCAATAGTATAGAGCAAACTGCAATGCCGAAATAGAATCTATACGGTCCATATTCATCCAAATAATCGTCCGCAACACCAGTGTACTTCTTCGTATTGTCTTTTATAACAAGCGACAATTTGTTAAGTTCCATTTTGATTTCATTTGAGGCGTGTTGGAAAGCATTACCTTTAAAGAGAAAAAAAATGTTGTACTAGTATAAGTAAGTGGCTTTGGAAAAGTGTAGAATTTTGCACGGTTTTTTTTGTCCTTTTTTTTGTGTTTAAACACAAACCATCTCATTTACTCACCTGCTTTATTTATAGATTTAATAACTTCTGGTGTATATTTTCCAATTGTTTCATTGAGATGTGCTCGCATTTGACTGAGCATATCACGCCCACGCTTGCCAGCCGAAGCTATGTCCTTACTTATCAAATTATCTAAATTTTCGATAATTTTTGTAACATCCGGCAGCTAAGAGGAATGAAATTATTGTTTACTAAATTACTTACATGTACGTTAATACATATAAAAATTTAATATAATGAGCTTGGTTTTTATTGAAATTCGTTACCTTTGGAAAATATCGGTCTACCATCTGATAGCATTAAAAAGACAAATTTTATAAGTTTAGAGAATGTTTGCGAAGAAAACCGCCTACACAAACGCAAAATTCAATTTTATAAATACTGAAATCCAATCAATTTTGCTGATAAAATTGATCGTGTTTTTAAAAAAATAAAATTATGGTCTTTGTACTATGTAGAAAAATAAAACACCAAAGAATTTTTTTTTAATTGTACATTCTATATTACTAAGCGATAGATATTGATCTAAATATAAAATCAATAGTAATAGTCTAGTTTCATGAAATTAAAATTTGCTTGAAATAAGAAAAGAGAACCAACCCCACAGAAAACAATCCCAATAAGTTCGAAAAATCCCTAATAAGTTGCGAATCATTTTTT